TCTAACATGCTCATGCACTACTCAGTTTGAATTCCCCATGTTCAGTACATAGCAGATAATCAATAAATGTTTGCTAGGCAAGTGAATAAATTTTGGAAAACAATGGGCATTTAACAGGAAGTATCTATGACCGTATTTTAAAAGGGAGCAGAGAGAAAACCTCTTAAAGCAAAAGTAGAATTTGGTCTTTTAAAAATATATATACATATATTCATCCTACCATATAGTCCCAATTTTTAAACATAAAGAATAAATCAGAAATTCTAACTTTTATTTGTGAAAGACAGTTCAAATTGTGATAGGAAATGCAAAGAGCAAAATAAACGGCTCATGCAGCGTAACAAAGGGTGGCTTATTCAAAAGGCTGTCATGCTGGATCCTTGAGGATGTGGCTGTTTCTACCCAGAAGCTGCAACTAGCCGACTTTCTTCCTCCTTCCATGCATTTGTTAACGTTACTGCTATTAGAAATGATAGTCTTACAACTCAGCGACCTCTGAATTTTTCCCAGGCATTTACCCTCAAGAGGCAGAAGTCCAGGAATCTAGTCCTGACTTTTAGTTCTGATATAAGATTTTATTGAACATCATTTTATGGCCCTTGGTCAGGTTATGCAGCCTCTCAGAAGAGTTATTTGCCCTGGTCTAGGCCAGTCATTAATTAGAACAGTACTCTCAGACCTGGAGAATCCATTCCCATAGCAAAGCAAGCTTTTGTCATGTGAGGCTTTGCTTTTGCCCTTCGCCCTTTTATCTGATCTCATTTTCTTTGACCATTTGCTGAGCTGTTGTATCAGACATCACAAGCCTGTGCACACAATTGTTTGCATTTGTTATGCCCTTTTGAGAGACATTTCAATGAGCAGTGTTAAAAATGGGGTGAAGGAATTATTGAATTTGTTGAGGCCCTTTTTCTTTATTTCTTTGTACCCACTTCTCTTTGGGCCACCTGTTTGTTCTTGTGGTTGTTTTACAGATGACAAGTTAAATTGTTAGAACAAAATGGTCTCCCAAATGGCTTAACTTTTCTTCCTTTTGCTAAATAGTGAAATCCATCTAACAGAGGCATTACATATAAATATGGTTTCAGTGATCACTTTGGTCAATGTTCTTAGAACATTTCATGATGAGTTAAGAATTATAGACTTTGGAAGAAGCTAACATTATGTTCATGCATTTACACTACAGTAATACACATCTGAAGTTCTTTTGAAAGTTATTTGTAGGGAGAGATGACTTCTTGCAAGGGTTGGTGATTAAGAGAAGGCATAATTAAGAAGGAGGGATTTGAGTTAGATCTCTTTTTTTGAGACAGCATCTCAAGCTCTTGCCCTGGGTAGAGTGCCATGGCGTCACAGCTCACAGCAATCTCAAACTTTTGGGTTGAAGCAATTCTCTTGCCTCAGCCTCCCAAGTAGCTGGGAGTACAGGCATCTGCCACAATCCCCAGCTTTGAGTTAGGTCTTGAAGGGTAAAAATCTGATCATGTTGAGATGGGAAGAAAAATTATGTTAGGTGGAGGAAAGAGGTTGTGCAAAAGCAAATCCCCTTGTCACAGAGAGGGGACAAAATTCAGGCAGGACTAATTCAGGAAGGCTTTCCAGAGGAGAAATGTTTTGAGTTGGATTCTTACCCTAGTAATAGATGTAGACTGGAAGAAAGGCCAAGGGGAAGTTCAGCGGGCATATAGGATTAACTTTATTTTTCCAGGATGTATTAGAATTAGAGGGAATCTTTTCAAGGGGTTCATTTGCTGCACCCCCCTTCAGTTTGGAACTCCTGGTGTGTAACATTTGAAAAGGGACTTGAGAAAAAATAGATTGGGAAAGATAGATTGGGATTAGAAAGGAATAAGTAAAGCGATCTCTCTCCACAGATGGATGGCATGATCTTGCTTGTAGAAACTCCTGAGGAATCTACCAAAGTGCTAAAACCCACATTCAGCAAGGTTGTAGGTTGTGAGATCACTACACGGCAACACATTGTATTTCTATAGGCCACATTGTATTTCATAGGCCATTTTTATAGGATCTAAAAATGAAATGACAATGTGAAAAGGAATAGAACACTTAGGGGAATACATTTAACAAAAGTAATACAAAATGTGTACGTTTAAAACTATAAAACATTTTGAAAAGAAACTAAGGAAATTGAAGAAGACAAAATAAGTGAAAAGCTAACCATGGTCATGGATCAGAAGGTGTAACAGGAAAGTTGTTAAGAAGGCAGTACTCTATAGATTCATTGCAGTTGCTGTCAGAATCTCAGATGTCTGACAAGTTGATCCTAAAATTCATGTGGGTAATGCAAGGGTCCCAGAGTGGCCAGATCAACCCAGAAAAGGGAGAATAGAGTGGGAGGACTCATACTTCCAGATTTTACTTACTGCAACGCTTTAGTCAAGACCTCATACTAACTTAAAGATAGGCATTATTAGCTCAATGAAATAGAATTGATAGTCTAGAAATAAACCTTTACATATGCGGTCAGTTAATTTTCTACATTACTCTCAAGGCTCTTCAATGGAGAAAGAATATTCTTCAACAAATGGTGCTGGGACAACTGCATATCTACATGCAGAAGAATAAAGCTGGTTCTCTGTTTTACATCATACACAGAAATCAACTGAAAGTGGATCAAACAGCTGAACACAATAGCTAATACTGCAAAACTTTTAAAAGAAAGCATAGAAATGTTTGTGACCTTGATTTAGACAATGACTTGTTACATAATACTGAAAGTCTAAAAACCAAAGAAAAAACAATAATTTGGATTTTATCAAAATTTAAAAAGTTTTGTACTTCAAAAGATTCCATCAGTTAAGTGAAAAGACAACCTATGGAATGGGAGAAAATATTTGCAAAATATTTTCTGATTGAAGTTGTTTCTGATGAAAAACTTTATAATATATAAAGAACACTTATAATTCAATAACAAAAAGATAAATAACCCAGCTTAATATTGGGCAAAGGATCTAAATAGACATATCTCTAAAGAAGATATACAAATGGTCAATAAACAGATGACAAGGTATTCAACATCATTAGTCATTAGGGAAATGCAAATCAAAACCACAGTGAGATACCACTTCTAGGCTGTCTGTAATAAAAAACACGGATGCTAATGGACCCTCAGGCTTTGCTGGTAGGAACGTAAAATATTTGGCAGTTGCTTAAAACAATAAATGTCAGTTTACCGTATGACCCAAAAATGCCACTCAACAGAATTGAAAATATATGTAGATGCAGAAACTTATATACAATTTCATTATTCACAGTAGCCCTAAAGTGAGAACAGCCTAAATATTCCATCAACTGACCAAGTCTATGTGCTTATTTCCATACAATGAAATATTATTTGGCAGTAAAAGAGATGACATCTGATAGATGCGACCACATGAGTCAACCCTGCAAACCTTGTGCTGTCAGTGGTTCTCACCCTTCCTAATACCATGATATATTTTATTGTTACAAAGGGGTTGTGACCCACAGGCGGAGAACCACTGTGCTAAGTGTAAGAAGCCAGACCCACAATACCACGTGTTGGGTGACTGCATTTATATGAAATGTCCAGAATACACCATTCTGTAGAGGCAGAAAGTAGATTGGTAGTTACTGGAAGAAAAGTGGGGAGTGGCTGCTCATGGATGAAGGTTTTTTTGGGGGGGGGTTGATCAAAATGTTCTGGAATTAAGAGTTGTGATACTTGTACAATTTTGTGAATATATTAAAAACACTGAATCTTAAAAGGTAGACAAATTAAAAAGCCTATTGCATTCTTTCTTGAAAAAATTAAGAATCAATATGCCACCCTCAGTCAAGGGATGATCTTTATTGGTTTTTTTTCTGCCTTCTTTTTCAAAATCAGAGTTTGAAAATTTGCTTCCTCTTCAGATATCAACAAGCTACATCTTTCCTCTGTCTTGTGAAGGTCTTACAAACACTGCTGTCCCAGAGAGTGCTTCTTAGATTCTGTTGACACTTGATTCAAATTTAGCTTTTAAAATATATTTGAAATTATTTTAAAGAATGGAATATGAAACAAGATACACTCTTAGATATATTACTGTTAAGCAAATTTTAACACACTGAAGGCTACCATGTATTAACTGGTGTTTCCAAGTTATCTCATTTTAAGCATGCTTTGGAATCAAGTCTTTCAGTGAATTATACATGTGAAAATTGCTAAGAGTAGATTTTAAGTGTTTTCACCACCAAAAATATGGGAAGCAATGGCTATGTTAACTAGCTTGATTTAGCCATCCTATGATGTGTAAATATGTTAAAACATCGTGGTCTACACTATATATATATATCCTTATATAAAACATCATTTGTCAATTGAAAAATAAGTAAAATGAGAAAAAATAAATTTTGTGCAGCTGGGGTCATGTAAATCTTTCTCAATATAGTAAGCTTTGGATTCCGTTTTGACTTCCTTCTCATTTTTCAGGGATGTTTTGAAAGCTTTTTTTTTCCACAGAAATTCAGGAGTAAAGGAGAGACTTCTAGCTGAAAAAATACTTACTGACTTTAAATAGATCATAACTTTTTTCTGAGGTTCTATCTCAGAGGTTGCACTGCACAAATGTTGTTGGCTAGATCATAAGGCTAGTTGGTGTTATGCCCAATGTAAATGTTTTAGTTGCTATTTTTTGAGTGGGATTGGAAGGTGGTAGGTCTCCTTACTTTAATCTTTTTTTGCATATGAAGTAACTGAGTTCCTGAATCTTCATGTGTGGGACTTTTATCAGAAGCAGGGTTAAATATGGCCCGTGTCATTAGATTATTGCCTATGCTGAAAGTTTTGTGGTATACTCATGTAGGCTAAGGAGCTGCAAGGTCAAGAGAAGTATGTGTTTGTGGGTGGTAGGAGGGAGGAGACTGTGAAAGAATCAAATTACTAACTATTATTGAGTCCCTAATATATGTGAATATTACTGATACATCCTGGACCCTGTTGTTCAAAACAAATCATGTGTCCATTCTGTTCTAATTCATAGGTGATCATGGAGGAAGCACTTTACTCCCACCGAATGTCACAAATGAATTTCCAGAATATGGGACCATGGAGGAAGGCAGAGAAGGCCTAAGAACTTCTCTGGAGTTTGATGCCGAGTCTCTGCCATGCCACCCACAAGGGCAGCATGGGGTCCAGCTTCCTGGTGGCCACCACTGTGGGCTCGACAGTTTTACAGAAGGACAAAGAGATGTTAGAGAGGCCCCCTCCCAAAGTCACCTCAAGGAACAAAGTTTACAACCCATTGACTCTTTGATTTCAGCTCTGAAAGCCACAGAAGCCAGAATTGCTTCAGGGACATTACAGGCTACAAAGGTACTGAACAAAGATGGTGTTTCTAATTTTTCAGCTCAGCAGGTAGAAAAAGAGCTGGACACTGCCAATTGTAAAACACGGAGAGCCAATAAACTACTCCCAGCTAGCCAAGAACAGTCGCCAGATATACCTCTTTCCGCTGAAGTAACGACTGAGGAAAACTTTTATTTGAGCATCCAGAAGGATCTGACTGCATTGTTGACTGGAGACACTCAGGCAGAGCTTTCCCAGATAACTAAGAGTGGGAGAGAAGGGGCAGCAACTGTGTCCTCCCTGGGGAGCCCAGCAGTGACCCACAATTCTGCGGGCAGTGTTGGTTTCTTGAAGGAGCAGAAGTCTTCTCTCGGGAGGGGGCACCCAGAGAGATACGATCGAGGCAGCTCCCTGGGACGCCCAGGCCGAATCAAACATGTGGAATTTCAAGGGGTGGAGATACTGTGGTCAGGAGATAAGAGAGAGACTCAGTATCCTGTTGATTTTGAAACATCACTGGAAAGGACAGCCTGTCCTGTAAGCAAAGAGTTTTTCAAAGTGCCAAGCCAGCTTATCTCATCTGCTGGTCTGTGTACTCGTTTAACTGAGAATGTTTGGGATGAAACCTGGAACGCTCCTTCAGAGAGACCTGGCACTAGCTCAGGGTCATTTCCTTCTGTGCTTCAGGATGAGAGTGGAGAGGATGACGTCTTCCTGAAGGACAACAAACCACATCTGGAGAAGAAACCTGAACCAGAGAGAGACACAGCAAGGTGAGTGCACTGCTGTCTGTGACTCCTGGAAGATACTATAGAAAACCATGATCCTGTGCTTGATAGGAGAACTCAACTCACAATACACTGGGTCCTCATTATCATAGAATGGAGGGGAAGTTACTGGAAGTTAGGTCCTTCTGAGATACCTTCTACATTGCTAAGACATTAAAGTGATCTTGTTATAAAGTCCATTAGGCCTGGAGCAGGGAAGAAGAGCCTGTGAACACTGAACTGGGCAAATCCATTTGTGACATTTTGTTCCATTTGATAGGTTTCAAGTTTTCAACACCAGGGTAACTAGAGTACCCCACAGTTATCTTTAATAATATGAAAAGGGTTGGACTCTTTGGACATACTCCATATGGTCTTTACAACTTAGACATTTCTTCTGGGTACAACTCCAGTGGCTGAAGTCCAGCCTACAGTGCAGCCTTCCTACACGTGTGAACACAGGTTTGGGGTTGGGAGCCAGTATATTCTATATTTGGAAAGGACATCTCAGGAGATCAGAAGTAGAGTTTATAGTTCAATTGCTCCATGATAGTCACATGGGAATTTCTTCTTCTTACAAGTAGCACATGTTTAAATTTATGGCCTTGATAAGTTAACTTGGCATCATATGGAATTTTCGGATCTTTCCCTGCTTTTCTAACTCTCTTACCGGCTTAGAGGCAGTCATGGAGATGACCCCAGAAGGTACGACCCATCTTTCTTTGTTCCCTTTGATCACAGTCTGACCAGGCAGTGCCCCTTTGAGCAAAGTCATTCCTTGTGTCCTGTGCTTTGAATTTGTACCATCTTGTCTCAGTGCTCATGATGCCACATTTTATAGTTTATATGTGAGACATCGGGGTCAAGGCTGAAGCATTTATTTTTTGTTCTGGGTTTTTTAGTCCATATAAGAAGATACCTTTTCCTCTATGGTTTGCAAATCTGCTGAGGATGTTGCTCCTTTAGGGTAACTATCAGGATTCCAGCCACTCCCCCTCCCCTGACACATAACATCTGCAGACTTCCCTTATGGTTCAATATTTGTATCCCACTGAAGTTACGATTTTATTGCTGTTCAGGTTATTAATTCATTCCTCCTTTCTTCTCTCCTTCCCTTCCTTTCTTTCCACAAATATTTTCTGATTGTTTACTATGTCCTTGACATGAGATGTTGGGAAGAAAGGGATGTTCAAATTGGATAAGGTCCCTTGTCACTGTCCTTGTGGAATTTACTGCTGAAGAGAGACATAAACATATTGATAATTATAGGATCACAAATTATGCTGGGTCCCACAAGACAGAAGAACCTGAGAGCTTCTAGAAAGAATAATAGGAGTGGAGGGAAGAGGCTAATTAATGCGTTTGATGGTTTGGGAAAGGTTTTTCTGGGGAAATGGAAATGAGGTATAGGGGTTAGCCAGGCAGAGAATGGGCAGGAGGAATGTTCCAGGCAAAGGGAATAGAGGAAGCTGTTGGGTCGCCTGACTAGAATAGTGTGAAGCAAAGGCCTCATGTCACATTTGAAGAGTTGAAACGTCAACGTTGTGGTTGGTGCATAGAAAGCAGAGGAGAGGAGTGTGAAGGAGTGTGGAGAGGCAGGAGAGGCATCATCATCCCATCTCTCCACACACTGGAAGCCATTGGGAACAGGGTATCTGGTACATGGTGGACCATCCATAATTTAAAAACAACAACAAAGACAGCTGCATTGTTGAATGTGAATTCTGATAATACCTGAGAATGTGGATTCCTTAGGACAAACTTCATAGGTAATTCCTATTTCTATTTTATTCCCATTTGTAAAAATTAGAGGCTGCGAGAGGTTACATTATCCCTAGTGACACAGCTGGTGATTATCGGAACAGCCAAGATTCAGCTTAGTTTTTCTTACTCTTGACCTCTTGCTCTTTACCACTGATTTATCTTCTAATTATTAAATTTGACCTAATTATCCTAATTTTCAAAAGAGAGTTTAGAGACAGAGTCTTGTTCTGTTGCCCACATTGGAGTAGATGTGATCATAGCTCTACAGCCTTGAACTCCTGGCATTAAGCAATCATCCCACTTCAGCCTCCTGAGTAGGTAGGACTACAGGTGTGTACCACCACATTTTTTAATTTTTTAATGTTTTGTAGAGTTGGGGTCTTGCTGTGTTGCCCAGGCTGGTATCAGACTCCTGTGCTCAAGCAGTCCTTCTGCCTTGGCCTCCAAAGTGCTGGGATTATGTGTATGAGCCACTGTACCTAGCCTTAGTGTTCATTTTTAATATTTGAAGAACATGCTGATGTTAATTCTTCATATTTGTGTGCCAAAATTCATGCTCCACCTCTATATATTGACTTTTAAGTTGTTTCTAATGTCTAATGGGTTTGGTTTGCCTTGCAATAAATATGTGTTGGTTTTATTTAGGTCATTCCCTGCTAAATCTTGGACCTGAAATCTCTCTGCAGTGCTGCATTATTGCCAGCAGAGGGCAGCCCTTAGATTCCGATTCAACCATACTCTTGAGGGCATTTGGTCTTATTTCAATCAGAAAGTATTAATAGACTGGTGAAAGTTTAGTGTATTTTTATTGCAAGTTTACATGATATATTTATGCTTCTGGTATAATTAGGAATTATGGTTGTAAATAATCTGAATTTGTACAGTATAGCTGACTAAAATGAGAATTTAATATTTTATTCAAATATTCATTGGACTAGATGCACTTATATACTAGGAAACCAGTTGGAAACTTTATTAAGTTATTTATAGTATAGTAGCCATATGTATGCGAAGAATTTTTCAAGCCAAGTATGTTTCATGTCTTCCTTCCCAAATATGTCAAGATATAAGCTCAGCGAATATAATAGTTAGATCTACAGAATGTTCTTACTGTGTGGTTGAAGGAGAAAATATATATTAAAAAAAAGAGATTAGCCTAATATTGAAATTCTACACTCTTCTTTACTTTGCAGGATCATTGAGCAAGAGGAACACATTCGGGGAGAAGACGAAGATATCCTTGGGCCTGGGTACACGGAGGACTCCACCGACGTGTACAGCTCCCAGTTTGAAACCATTCTGGACAACACTTCTTTATACTATAGTGCAGAGTCACTGGAGACATTGTACTCAGAACCTGACAGCTACTTCAGCTTTGAAATGCCTCTCACTCCCATGATTCAGCAACGCATTAAAGAAGGCGGTCAGTTCTTGGAGAGGGCTTCTGAGCGAGGACATCAGGACATTCTGAGTGTCTCAGCAGATGGTGGAATAGTGATGGGCTATTCCAGCGGGGCCACCAACGGGCTGAACGATCCCAGCGACTCCATCTACACGAAAGGCACCCCGGAGATTGCTTTCTGGGGAAGGTATTAGTCTCATTGTCATTGATTTCCTGGTGGTAGTTTTTGTGGCATTCTCTCTTTGGGAAATCTGAGTGTGGAATATACTTTCAAAACATTTGGCTAATTTCTGTGGCTATAACGAATGATATGAGTAAAAAGTAACTTGGGTTTTAGGGGATACACCTGAACAGGATACACCTTCATTTACCAAATTGGCAGACTATGGTCATTTTATTCTGTGATATTTCCTGGATTACCATATGTAAGTAGGTTACTGAAAAAATCTCTGTGGGCCATGAATAGGTATTAGCTCTGATGATGCAGTTTTAATGGCAGTGATGTGGTATCTGAAAAGAACACTGAGAGGTTATGGCTTAGTCTGACACGGACGTTGGTTGATGACTTGGAGCAAGTTGTTTGATTAGCCCAGAGCCTCCTTAAGCATAAATCCAGGGTTTAAATTAGATGTTCAGCAGAGTCTCCCCAGCCCTTTGCTCTGAGAGGTCATGTTCTATCTGGCTATCTTCTGTTCCTGAGGTGGTGGGAGAAGGATTTGGTTACAGATGCTTAAGATTGCTGATGCCTTGACAAGGCTCTAAGTACTCATTTTCTCACTTGGTTTTAGAATTTTAGTCTATCTGGGAGATAAAATGACAAATTTTATGGGTTACCTGTACCACCCCTGTCATTTGGGAATTTCCTGTCTGTGAATTATGCAGTATTTCATTTCTTCCTTTTTGTCATCCTCAGATCATCTATTTGTCTTTTTGCATCTCTATTGATGGACAAAGAATGCTAAACTTTATAACCATTTTACATATTTAGTTTTGAAATATTTTTCTGTGTGTACATGGAGATAGTGGTGGGGGGAAGGTTAAATGGTGATAGACCATATTAAAGCCGTATGAAATAACACCAGTGCTTTTGTTAAAAGTCCGTATTCATATTACAGGTTTTCTGTTGTTAAGCAGTCTGCCCTGTGTTAAACATTTTATATAATGAGTTTATAGTTTTATAGTTCATTGGATGAGCAAGTTCAAGACTGGCACACTAGAACATTGTAGCTTGGCATTTCCACAGAAACAAATAGTGGATATTGATTGTCTAATTGGGTCACAGTGAGATAATGAATAGAAGAAGATGTTAGAAGCCCAAGACTTTGGTTTGAATTTACTTATGTAAGCCACTTCTATGAAACCTGCTTTATTTATTTGCAAAGTGGGGTGAATGACAGCCACGGTGTTATGTGGCTGTGAAATCTGAAGGGTTAATATGGACGAAAGCACCGAGTGCAGCACCTGGTACAAAGTGGGAGCCCCGAGTAATTGTGTGGATCTGAACTGGTTGGCGGATAAGTCCATGTTTAGATTTCCTGTATGTCTGAGAGGGAGGGTGTCTCTGAGTAAGGGGCATGGGGACGTCCCCAAGAGGGCCATGTCCTTGAGATGGGGTGTCCCTCAGTGGAGGGTACCATTTAGTCTTCCTGCTTCATCATCATCTCTGAAGACTAAATTGTGATAAAATGCTGTAGGACAGATACACAGATAATTTCATTGAAACTCCAACTCAACTTTCTGGGGTGAGGGGAAGTTGTTTATATTACTGACCAAGCATAGGTGGAGGAGCTGAAGTGGTGGGGCTGAGGAAGCCACAGGGTGGGTATACAAATGATAAGACGAGAATATCAATGAAGGAATTGGCTGGAAGTTTTATTCCACCTGTGGCCTGAGCATTGAGGAAGTGGCCATCTTTGGGGCCAGCATGATGCCCGTCATGAGTATGGACAGAGTTAAGCTGTTAGGAGAGCACTGCAGTAGGTTATGGTATTTTAGTGTCTGAGATTTAGACAGTGGTATCCTTCAGGCCATCTTGAGGTAAAGTTTCAGCTGTGTCATCTGCGTTGTCAAACCACAAGATCTTCCCCAGTGGTAAAAGACTGAATTGTAGTCCTGAATGAGCGCATCTAAGAGAGGAGCCAGCCTGCTCGCCCCCCACTCTGCTCCTCCTCCTGTCTGAGCACCGCCAGTGCCTCAGACAGACTAGTTTATGGGGCCCCTCACTGTGTGTTTCATGTTCCCTGAATTGTCATAAGACCAATAAGTGGTTATGAGCAGAGGAAGTTTTATTTTGTGATATATGTGTTTATTCAACATTAGAAAAATAGAGCAGTCTTAATGATCCTAAGAAATTTTAAAGGAATTAGAGAACTTTCATATGTTTCTTTAGCCCCTCTGCCTTCTTTGGTGCTTTGGGGAAGTTGCAATCATACAGGAATTGTGTTAATATGATGTGTGGTATTATGAGAGTATTACGACTTTTACTGCTTGAAGGGATCTCCGATAACTTTATTTTATTTTATAAAAATCTGTGTTCTTGTTTGGTGGGGTGAATTACCCACAGCCAGATGACTTTCTAGTGATAGATCCTGTGCTAGTTTTTAAGTCGTCTGCCTCTGAGGCCAGATTCAACCGCTGTTCTGGGCTTCCTGGCCTCTAAAACTGTTATTCTTTCTTTTGATCTGATTTCTCTCATGCCATATATGTAAAGAGCCGGAAGTCTGGGGGCAGCGCCTGTGGCTCAAAGTAGGGCGCTGGCCCAGTATACCAGAGGTGGCGGGTTCAAACCCAGGCCCAGCCAAAAACTGCAAAAAAAAAAATAAAAAAAAAAGAGCCGGAAGTCTGAGTTGGCTTGCTTTCGAGAAACTAAGTTCTAAATGTGAAGCTAGTTGTTGTTATTGATGGTGCTGGTATATGCATTCACCACCAAGTCAATAATAAACAGGTTTCCATAAATGTTTAAAGCAATCAATGAACAGCCTTTTAAAATTTCTCCTGCATTGAAATATCCCCTCTGCAGAGGTAAGGAAGCAGACTCAGGTATTGAGCCTGTCCCTTAGCCAAGCCCTGAGAGCCACAGTGTTAGAATCCAAGGAAAAAATATTTTCCAATTGCATTAAGAAATATGATAGCTACAAAAGAAAAGTGATAAAGAAAACAAGTATGCATTCCTAGCATTCCTAGCCTAGCCACTGGCTTCTCCTGCTGGCTGGCAGTGGGCCGGGCTCTGATCGCGTTGGATAAAGTGAACTCAGAGGAAGGCACTGAGGAAAGAGGTCAGGACTAGTCACTTCCTCCTGTTGAAGTTATTTGATATTCAGTAGACATGAACCAGGAAATTAAAATCTTAGTTGTCAGCTTGTACAAAACATCACTTTAGTTAATTTCATAACTGACATAATTTTATATCACGTATCATCCATAGGTTTGTTTATTCATTATACACATAGTGCTTAAGTCTCATGATAAGGCAGGAGAAAGGAAGGAACTATTAATGTTCTCATTTTCCAGATAAGGAAACTGAGTCACCACTACTAAGGTCACACAGGTAGTAAGTGGCACACTCAGCACTTGAACCCAGTCTGGCTTTTACTGAGCTATGCTGAGTTGGACCATAAAATCATTGGTCTGAGTGATAATGACTTCATGATGAGTCTCAGAACAGGACCAAACATCTTAAACAAAGTGTATTTGTTTTGGTAGTAATATGTTTTTAGATCTTTTTTCTATTTCAATATCTGTCCTTGCTTTGTCCTTAAAGATCATTTCTGTGGCAGTATTGATGGTGATTGAACCCAGGTGACGGTCCCTGTTACATGGCTCCTTTAGAGAAAGGTGGACAGGAAAGGTGACTAGGCTGTTGTGGCATTATAGTGGATCTTAGTCCCCTCTCTCAGGAACATTTTCTTGCCTGGCACTTTACTGTGTTTTGGTGGCCAGAGGATCAGTGTTTTCCCCTGAAACTTCATTTAAGTCAAAGAAGAAAATATTCCAAATCTTTGATATTCTAGTGTTGGGCTGGCAAAGACATTTTTTTGAGTGCTTGTCTATTTGTCTTTAAAAGTATTACTTATCACCCTGTGATATCAAGTAGACCTTGCTTTGCAAGGTTTTAAAAAAAAAGACTGAAAATCCTAAAATAAATCTAGCCAGGGATTGTTAAATTCTCCTGGGTGCCCTGACTGAACATAGTCCAGGAAGCCTCAAGTCAGCCAGGACATAGCTCATCCTGAAAGTGTAACACAATCTTTTAATGAAGGGGCAAGGAGCAGGATTCCCCCCACCCCTATGTGGTCCAGCTCCATAGCACTCGGGCTGACAGGGGGTCAGCGGTGCTGTGTGAAGTCCAGTCACATGGTTCCAAAATTAGAAAGGATAATTAGAGACTTACAGTTATACATGTTCTGATGGGTTCCTTTGTGTCTGGGTGCTTTTCCCGCGCTGGTCTATCAGCAGATGACCACAACTCCAACCAGTAAGTCCTCAAAGTGCAAATGTGCTCACTATGACATTAACAGAGCTGAATGTTGTCCTTTTCCATTGAGCCTGGGTTTGGACAGGAAGAGAAGAGAGATCGCAAATACGGTGATGTGGCGGGAACGTCTCCTTTGGTTCTCTGAAGTCTTTGAAACTGCCTTTTAAATACCTTTCTTAGTGTGAGAGGTCTCTGCTTCTTAGTTTGTCTTTCAGATGTTGCTGGGGATCCGAGGGGTACGGCAGCAGGGTGAATTCCATCTGTGTGCGGCTGCTCTGCCTGGTCTGTCTGCAGCCCACTCTGAATTGGATATTTGTGGTCATCTGCCTTTCTCTTGCTGTTGTCATCCCCTTCGCAAATGGAACGCTGGTGTTTGAAGCTATCTTCTGCCTTCCTTCAATTTTTCTCTTTCCTTGCTGTCTTTCTGCTTTAGGAAGAAGTCATGTGAAATAAAAGTAATACATTTGTTGAGGCGCTGTTTCAAAAAATTTCCCAACATCACAATTGAAACCTGAAGTCATTTGAATATAATATATAAATATTAAAAGAAGAAATTAAAATAATGTGATACTAGTTAAGGCAAAATCTTTTCAATCTCGTGAAATGTCCTCATGGGTCTGGCTGCTTTTCCTCTGTCGTTAACAGAGGAAGCTTCGCTGCCCTGCCCGTCAGTGGCTGCTGTTGCTTTCGCGATCTCTTTAATCCTTTTATGT